ATATATATAGATATGTATAAATATAGATATATAATAATTACGAACATTCCTACATTCCTCTAAAGAGTCTGATTAATCTTGCGATCCATCTAAATCTCAATAGAAAATGTACGACAAAAATATCTCAAAACAATCTTTTAAATATATATATAGATATGTATAAATATAGATATATAATAATTACGCTTATTGAAACATTCCTCTAAAGAGTCTGATTAATCTTGCGATCCATCTAAATCTCAATAGAAAATGTACGACAAAAATATCTCAAAACGAAAATAGAATCTTTTAATACGTTTCTGCGAAAAATACGAATTTTTCATATAAGAGCCATTATAGTCTAAAGTAACAACAGACTACACCGTAAATATAAAGTGAAGGACGCGCGCGATTATATCGTGCTGCTAATGACTTTCGCGAGTTTTTTATCACTGTGCACTATGGGCGAATGAAGCACAGATGGCTTATAATGGCGTGATAAGCATGGAAAAAGTTCAAGGCATAAAGTTACTGATTACCTTCATCACAGCAATAGGTTTGATAAACATGATAATTTAATTAAAATATATTGAGCGCATAACATATATCTTGTATTTCTTAATTAATTTGCAAAATTGCTATATCCTGCATGAATTATTACAGTGATTAAAAAATTATTTGTCTGAAAATGATATTGATATTGAGAAATTTACGTTTATAACATATGGAGTACATCAGATTCTCTGCGCTTTTTGCATAAATAAATTAATCTTTTAAATTAATTTTTTGGAGTATATTAACTTATAATTTAATAATCTTTTATTAGATACGGTGTTTATCTCTCAATATCTTTGTTACTAACCATTAAATTACAATTTTATTATGTATAATCTTGATATCAGCTTAATTAAATATAATCTTGTATTAATTTGATAATTAACAAAAAATAAGATTTTATAATCTACTTCTCTTTACTCCTGTTTTTAAAGATTTGTATAAATGTGGCAATAATATATTATTCTATAACAAATAGCTTTGTTCTTAAAACTAATTAATCGTTAGACATTTATCATGCATAATGAGCTATTACTTCCTAATTATGTGTATATTAAATGCATTTAAAACATGAATATATTTTATGATACTTTGCCGTAAAATCGAACGTTGACGCTACTTTGGGATGATAAAGCATTGAGAAAATAAATCTTCATTTCGCTTGATTAGCCCCTTTTCATATTTAACACTTGTGGTAATAATTCGTTATGAGTCAAATATGACCCGTTTTCACAGCTCGCATAGACGGAGATATTTCCACAAACAATTTTCATGCAAAATTTTCTAAATTATATATTAGATCAGAATTCTCGTGTGCATAAAGCTAAAAATATTTTTAACGTAATGTATATATGTGCCTTTTGTTTCTGCAAAATAGTAATATTTAAAATACATATATTACTTTTAAATATTCAAATGTAATTTTAAATGTTAGCGAAGTAATTAAACAAATTTATTCTACATAAATTTACTCGATACGTTTAATAAAACAAAAAACTTAAGTTCCTGAGATTTGATTAGAATTGTAAATTGATTAGGACTACTAATTGTTCCTGTGAAATTCTTCCAACTATACATAATTTCTTTTTTTGCAGTTATTTTAAACAACAACAGTTTATAACAAAACTTTTACATGAATAAGAAAGACACGTTGATCAAATTAAGTGAAACATTTTGTGTAATTATGTAGCTTTTTACAGTGTAAACAAAGCTGATCTTTTAGTTAATTAAAAAAGAAAAATTTTATCAGAAATCTGCTAGAGATTTTAATCTCGCACGAGTAATGAATAAATTTACCTTGATGGCAGATTTAATTTTAGCTCGAAAATGAAATCATTCTGGCGAATGTGGAATATTAAAGGCCGATGTTTGGTTTTCTCGACAATTGGTTTTTCTAAATGACATTTGATGCCGCTTTTACTTGCCTTCCAACCCTTAACAGGCAGTATGGGGAAGAAATAATCACCCAAAAATGGGTCCATCAAGACTGTTAGACCGTGCTCTATCCCGAGATCTTCTACTTTTTGTTTTGTACCAAATGGCTCTTTAATCACATCACGCATTCTGTTAACAGAGGTATAATCGCAGCCATTAATTTTTCAAGCAGCTAAAGCTTATACTTAACAGCATTATAGATTTTTAAATTAAACAGCTCTTATTTTTTTTCATGAGGCAGTAAACTGACCTATATGTGTCACCATTTGTCCATTATAAATTACTCAGAAGATTGCAATCAAAACATGTAAGTCTTTTTATTCAGAGTAAAAAACTACACTTATATTTGTAATATTAATATCCTATCATAAAAAAATACAATATACATTTTAAATATCAAACAAAATATAAATAGCAACTCTTTCAATGTTAAAGCATTGGTAATAACAAAGTCGCTAACTATTAAAATTTTATGTCTATTGGCAAAAATACATACTTTATAAATAAATAACAAAACTTAATTTGACGTTAATTTGTTTTCTATTGCATTGGCCATTTAAGGAATATATAACGACAAATCAGTGATATACAAAAACAAATTAGAAAGATACATGTGAATCATTCTATATAAAGACCAGGTCATGGCATTTAATCCTTGCAACACGTCATGTATGTACAAAGAAAATTAAAATTTATGGCAGTACCATTTTTCTGCGATACAATCAACAAACTGCGATCTAATCGACAAACATTGTAGACAATTTATTAAAAGTAGAGTAATTTGTTTATAAATCGACTCACGATATATCACTCTTTAAAATATATAATTAAAAATTATACAGATATATAAATTCAAAATATTTTTAAAATAATTAATTTTATAAAGAAATATGATAATATATGTAATATATAAAATATATTTACTCAAACGTCAGGATATGATAACAAATATAATAATAAAAATAAATAATAAAACATTTTCATATTGTACGCTATAGTAATCTTAGAGAATGTGTTTCGTTTGCTTATGCTGAAAAAGCATGTCTTGCAGGCGTAAACTAGTCGAGTAAGCGGTTAAACTACTGCATGTTATCTGTTCACTATTCTGAACGCACGGGGTACTCACGAGGGAATGTCGTCTCTTTCACGTACGTAATTAAAGGTGCAACAGAATCCGTCCTGCGTCTTGCGAAATTCGAAAAGCGTCGTGCAGGGTCTGTAGGTCCCGTGCAGCTTGCACTTCAGTAGCATCGACATGCATAGCGGCGACAGCTGGAAAATTTAAGCGTACAACACACAAATTACCGACAACATCTCGCGCGATAGAAACGGCAATCGACACACGCAAAGTATCATGTATATAATGCTTTAATTGATCTCCACGAGAAACCCCTGCGTTTAATGTATACTATATCGCGTATGAATAAATAAAGTATTGCAGTAGCCTTCGTGTATAAGCGACTTTTATTTTTTAGAATCATCAAAAAGTTGAAAGTTGAAAAGAGGAATTTATGCGAAAAATACTCGCAAAAAAATCGAGTATAATGGCATCAAGATTTTCAAGAAATTTACATTTGAAGTTACCTCCGACAAATTTTGATTCGAACTCCCATTATTATACCATTTAACAGCAAAATTTAAAAAATATGGAATAACTAGGTATTTAATTAAAAGAGGATTATAAAAAGAAAGAAATCTACTAAAAATAAAATTTGTATAGATAAAATTTTAACGAATGATATTTGGAATATAGCATTAATTTTGCATACGTACATTTTTCATTGTTTTGGTAATGTCGTAAAACCCGTTGTAATAAGTGTTTAAAAGTTGATCGACCTCCACATTACGATTTTCCTCCATGATGAAACTGGAAGGGTAATTATTGCCTAATTGCTTGAGCAACTCCACGATTTCATCGATTGACAGGTCCGTGATGTTTGCGTTAAAACTGAGTTCAAAAAAATTTTACGTATGTTTTAAATAAAAAGAGAGAATATGAAATATATTAAAGATATTTTTAATCAATGCATGTACATATATAGGATAATCTAAGCGTATCCATTATATATATACGATAATCATATAATAACTCGCATAACAATTCCTTCAGCAAATTTATTTAATCAACAGCTTAATGAGTAATTGCATATATAACGGATAATACTTTAATGGTGTCATAAAGATTTACTTATGCATACGCTTCTCTTATTAGTCAACACGGGAAGCTCATATAATTTTCTAAGCATTAATCTACTACACACTAAAAAAACGTAATTGCATTTTAATGCTTCTTGTATTACAGATAATATTGTATAAATACCTTTGAAAATAATATATTTAACGAGCGTTTGTTTGAAATGTATAATCAGCAACGCATCGGTGTTCGAGTTGGGTAAAAATCGGTGTAGTATTAATCATTAATCGATGCGCAAACGAGGTGGAAACTTTTACGTTGAACCTACCTACGGAACTTCACGAAGGTTTCTTGGTTCCGAATCAACGATTCCGGAAATGTCTCTTCCATTACGGAGGCGAAAGTTTGCGGGTGGCTACGAGGTAGCACTGCGCGAAACGGCTGGATTTTGGGACATTAACGCCCTATTAAATGAGCCGTAACCACGCCGATTCTACGCTCTCCATCAATGCGCAATGCATCGATCCACTCTCGTTGCGTTCCAAGTGCACGGCATCGAATTAACGATAATCGGCGTGCCAATTGACTCGGGACATCGTAAAAAGCAGAGTAGAATCGTTAACCGATGCGTTAACCGGTCATTGAGCTTCTCGTATATATCGCGCGTCAACCGTGGCAAATTAATCCTACCTATCCCAGTCGAAACTCTCTATAGAAAGACCACCATGGTAAACTCACCGTCAACCATGAATTCGCACCTATCGACGACGAACATACATTATTTGTTACACCGCAATGATTTATAATCGATGAGAATATATACTCATCAATTATCCATTATTGCAATGTGTTTTTATAATTCTCTGAATAATATAAACTATATTTGCCATTGGCAAATATTATTAATTAAATCTAGTGGCTTATTAAAAAAAAAAAAAATGTTTAAAATATTTTTGATATCAATGCGATATAATATTTTCAACAATCTATTTGAGAGAAGTCCGGTAACCACGTTAAACTTAAATCAATATAATTAATAGTAATACGTAATGTAATATTGATAGGTCGAAACTCCCAAATATTTGCATGGTCGCTTTTATGCTGACGTAATATGAAAATAATTCATGCGATCAAGCCGATATTCCGGATGTTTGCGGATACGTGCTTGCGATTCGCGTTGCACCGGTAACCAGTGACCGTTTTAACCCGCGCAGAGAAAATACGCAGAGAAATAATATGCGTGTTAAACAGCTGATGTAACTTGGAGTAATCCAAATCGGTCGTGCTATTGGTACGATTGGTACAATTTGGTGCAAAATCATTTCTATGTGCATTTCAGCGAAATCATTTCTACGCGCGTGCATTTAAAATACTAGAACATGTGCATCATCACCTCACCGCTATTCGTGCAAATGTGAATACATTAATTGTTTAGTGTACGCGATTGCGATTTGCGTTTCTTTAATACATAAAATCGCTCACATGTCGGTTGCCAATTTCATCACGGCTCGCCGACTTATCCTATTAACGGGACAGATGGCGATTGCTGGAAATTCATCAGTGTGTTTTTTATCAACAGCGCAGTAGAATGGAAAAATTGGAAAAAACGAAAAAAAAATATAGCTTGTCTTTTTCTCTTAAAATATAAAAATTTTTTCCATTTATAAATAAAATGATATTTTTTTTAAATTCTCTCTCTTTGCTTAATACTGTTAACTTATATTGCAGAGTATGAAAAAAAAAAAAACATTTCCTGTTTTAGAAAAGAGTTATGTTTATATATTAGGCATGTAAAGAAGTAATGAGAAAGAAAGATGTATTTGCCAGATGTATTTGATTGATGTTTTCGTCAACGATAAACTTAATTTTTCCGACATTTATTTAATTTATTTAATTATTTTTTCCGTTCTTTTGTTCTTCCTCTTTCATTTTTAATCAGAGCTTTGATACAGAGTAAAATTTAGATATTTTTGTAAATTGTTACAATTGAGATTCCACAGCCAATACATAGTTTTCAGACAACTATTTATTTGAAGAAAAATAATACTAGTTTTTTTAAAATAAAATTACATGATAGTTTTATCAGTCACAGAAATAAATCGGTTTATATATTAATTTATACTATATCAAAAAGTAAATAAATCTTTATAACTAAATTGCATGCAGAAGTTTTAGAAATGCTTAATCTCCATACCTGGAAAGTCTAATTCAATCGTACTATAACTATCCGAGTCCATGGAAGTTAGTATAGGATAGGTCACAAATTCTTTGTAGGTAATATAAACCATACCAATCAGACCAGATATGATTACGCAATGTATTATGACCCACAGAATTCTGAAAGATTTTAATTAAGTCTTAAAAATCTTAATCAAATAAAGATTTTATTGAAAATAATAGTTGCAAACACTACATTACACATACGACATCTTTAAAGCGCCAATCGAAAGATCATTGCTTCATTTATTTAATTCATTCATTAAAAAAAAAAAAAAATAAAATTCTGTAGGTACAAAAAACAAGAATACGAATCTGTATGGCACAAATCAGTTGACATCGAGCAATTATTTATTCTCTTTTTCGTACCGTAACGCGTTCATTACCGAATTCACATGGCGCTATTAATGTCACGTATGACACGTAATGTTACATTAAATCAACCGGCGTCGCCGCATTGCAACGTGACTCTGTCGTTTTGCGGAATATTATGTTTCTTTTTTATATTTCTATTTTTTTCCTTCCTCTTTCGCATCGCGTTTGTTTCGTTTCGCGGAACGGGGTCGTGATTTGTGGACAACCTGATTTGTGCGGTTCGCTATGAATTCAAGAAAATCCCTACTCGCGGCGTCGTTAATCTCTCCGTGAAACGAGGATACGCTCGTTAAACCGCGTAACTTTAATCATATGTTGCGCTTACGCGCGAACCGATGTAATGTATGAGTTTGTAGCGTCTCGCGGCTAATCCGCGAGCATAGTATGCGCGAACCGCCTTTATCAATGCTTTGATAAAGGGCAGATAATCGTATTAGCGTGCCGAGCATTCGAAAGCGCGAGTTTATGCCACTAAATGGGTAAATAACATCCAAATAAATCCCGCTTGGAGGAAAGTTTCGTCGTACAAAGGTTACCTTTATCGGATACAAAACGCCTGCTGTATCACGTATAATTCAACACGTTCTCTCTTTCCC